GCAGCGACCCGGCGCTGGAGGTTTTACGTCTGCCCCAGAAGGAAACGCGAGGCATCCCAGGCAGCTGTTTCACTGCCAAGCAGGGGCTCCTGTTGCACTCACGCGAGCAAGGAAACCGCGGTGCATTTTGCTGCGTCGCTGCCCTTCTCCAAGGGCGGCAACAAAAACGACTGGGGCCGTCCCGGCATCCAAAGTCACGTGCGAAATAACACAGATCCTGTGGGTGACATCTTCAGATCAAGCAGTATTTTCATTAGTTTACTGCCCTACTAAAGAAACCAAAAAAGAAAAAAAAAGCCCACTCCAACGCAGAAACCAGGAGGGCTTCTTTAACCCGGTCCCGGCTCTGCCCCGGCCGAGCTGGTGAGCTCTGCCAGGCCACGGCACTGCCGAGCGCGGTATTTGCTGTGGGGATGATGACTCTTTTCCGAGACGAGGATGCCTTAACTCCCGAGCATCCTTCCAGAAAAAGCACCATTCAAGTGCACGATACCACTTGCTATTATTCTCCTGCGGGCCGCGTTTGGAGCGTCTCTCGGCGGCTGCGGCCGAGGTGCTCGGACCGCCCGCCCGCTCCTCTGCGGAGATCGCTCCCACAAAATACGGACAGCGTCCTACCCAAGAACCGCTGCGGTGAGGCCAGCGCCGGCATGTTTGGAACGGGAAGCAAACCGGCCTTTGGTGGTGAGAGCAGAAAGTCTCTGTGGTTTTGCCTTCTCGTTTTCAGAGCCTGTAGGCACTTACTGTTAAGTGACCATCTATGTAATGTTCAGGACGACATTCAAAATAAAGATGAGTTTTACAAAAGAGCTGGTTCCTGCTGGTAAAGCAGGACTTGACTGCCTTTTTTTGCACAAATGATTTAATAGCTTGGCTTAAGGAGCTTTCCAAGTCACACCAGCGCATGCTGGGCTGTATCAGAAACTCTGCCGATTTATACTGCCCTGCTCATCAGCCCTGCTCCGCTGCCCACTGAGCACCATCGCTTGGAAAGAGCGCGTCATCCAGCCGTTCCCTTCTGCGCTCTACGGCTGACTCTCAGCGGTGGCTCTGGTCTGCTGTGCAAGCTGCTTTGCTTCAGTCCTTGCCAGCTGAGAAAGCATCCTGGTCCTCCGTTTTCCCCAGTCTGTCCCTGTTTGGCTGACCAGAATAACATGCCACAAATCACCATCTAACTCAATCACTGCTAAAGCAAAACGTTACGGCCCTTCAGGTACCGCTTGGCCTTGGTCCCGGGGACGGTGCCTGAAGCGGCGAACGCCAGCACAGCCCGGGGCGCGATGGGCACCGGC